GCGGTGGGGGGGGGAGGAGCGACTAGTGAGTCAACTATCTGATAAGCAAATGCTTATGGGATAGTCAACTAGTCGTTCAGGTCCCTAGTCTACAGCATTAACTGATAGGCTACGTCTACACTGGCCCCTTTTCTGAAAGGGGCATGCTAATTTTAAACTTCAGAATAGGGAAATCTGCGGGGGATTTAAATATCCCCCGCGGGATTTAAATAAAGATGTCCGCCGCTTTTTTCCGGCTTGTAGATAAGCCGGAAAAAAGCGTCTAGACTGACCCGATCCTCCGGAATAAAGACCTATTCCGGAGGATCTCTTATTCCTACTTTGAAGTAGATTCCTACTTATCTACAAGCCGGAAAAAAGCGGCGGACATCTTTATTTAAATCCCGCGGGGGATATTTAAATCCCCCGCAGATTTCCCTATTCTGAAGTTTAAAATTAGCATGCCCCTTTCGGAAAAGGGGCCAGTGTAGACGTAGCCAGAAGCTTTTGCTTGTTGGCTAATCAACTATCCTATTACATCCCTAGCTCAAAGTTGATACTGGGTCATAAACTGCTTTTGAAGGCATAGCTGGTTTCTTGGGAATGGGAAGAGGAGTCTGAAGAGCTCAGAAACTCTTGAAAAAAGAGGAAGTCTGCTTTATGTTATCCTCTTTTACAAGATTTCATATAGTGGCATCTCCCAAACCCCGAGAAGTGTTTAAAACTTTAAAAATGAGCCACAGTATTGCCAAGATGTAAATCAGTAAGTTAATGGTGTACGACTTAATTGGAATAAGGTATTGGCCATCTATCTTTCTGCCTCATAACATATCTGAATGATACCCCAACAGCATGCTAATTTACATCCAGTTGGTGCTTACTGCTGCAATGAATTAAGCTTCAATATATCCCCAAGAGGTATAATTATACCAGTTTTTTTCTAAAGCAAAAAGTAAAGGCCAATGTTTAAGTAACAGGGTCATTTAAGCAGTGCCAAAATAAGTGAACACAAAGCCAGATTGCCTTATTTTGCCTGTGCTTTAGCCACAAAACCTCCTTTCCCTTTATTACACCCAGAGTGGAATTAATGGAGTCCTATTTAAATACTCTGGTCATGTCTACACTGCAGAAATTATAGTGGTATAAGTTTGGCAATGCAGATAGGTCAATAAAGCAGCATACAGCAACAAAAGGGGCTTTTGCATTGCTATAGAACACCACTTCCCCCAGCAGCAGCAGATGGGTCAATAGAAGCATTCTTCCATCAACCTGTGCCTACACCAGGTGTTAAGTCAGTAGAACTGTAACACTCGAGGGTGCCAATTTTTCACACCTCTGGGTGCTGCAGCTATGTTAGCCTAAACATTAAGTACAGACCAAGGACTTAACTTTGCTTCCAAGTGAACTGAAATGCTTCATGGAGTAATTTACTAGACTGAAAGGAAAAACCCCTTTCATTGATAAATGGAAGTATCTACATCAATGGTGAGCAACCTGCAGCTCTCAGACTGCCTGCGGCCCACTGGGGTTCTATGTGTGGCCCACGAGACATTTTGTTCACCAATGCCCATGCGCAGATTTTGCTGGTTTTCATCCAGGTCGTTTTTTTCCTACCAGTATTACTAAAGTGGCACTTACTTAAAGCAAAGGCACATGAAGTGAGGCGCGTGATGTTTGCACACAACATTGTGAGGGCCATGTGCATCCAATCAAACTGCTGCTACGGTTCAGTCGGCACACCTCAATTTTTAGGCATGCAAGGGTAATTTTGCTAAAAACGCTCTCTCAAAAGACCATCTAGGTTATAAAAATCTTGCAGCCCACTGAGATGAAGGAGGGCCACTCATGCGGCCTACTTACGAGCCCAGGTGGCCCCTCACTGGTTTACACCAGTGGTGCGCAATTCATGGGCTGCCTTCCAAGGGGGGAGGAGGGGAGGATAGAGGAGGGGCAGTGCTTGGATCTGGCCGGCCACTTTTCCTGGCTTCCCGGCGTGGCGGGAGAGTGGCCCGACAATTAAAGGGGCCGCCTTTTTTTTGGCTCGACCAAATTCGGCAGCCCCCATGGGAGTCATGGATGAAAAAATGTTGCGCCCCACTGGTCCACACTATGGCTGTGCAGCTATGTTGCCGTAGCACTCACAGGGCAGGCATACCTATACATCCACACTGCTGACTTAGAAACTTAAGCTAATATCATTTAGGGATGTGTTTTATAAACTGGCCAGTAAAAAATACATCTCCGCTAGAAGAGATTGCCAGAATAGCAACACAGGCAAATCTTTTCTAACACAGACCTGGTCTAAGCAATCAACAAGTAGAATCCTGCACTCCTAAGCAGTAGGAGTTATTTCCACCGTTTTGATTTGGCATGTAAAGGCTTGTCTACACATGGAGTTGCTCCTGATTATAGGATTACTTATTCCAGAATAAGACTGCTTTGTTCCGGTTTATAACTTAATCCACTTCAACCAGGAAACTCCATGCGAAGACAAACACTAATCGCAGAGTAACACAGCTTGTTAACTGTTACACAATTTAAGCATTAGCCTGTTGCTGACTACCTTTATGTTTTCTAAGGATTCTGATAAAATTTAATGAACGATTCAGTCCTTCCCACAAACCACAGGTTGTTTTTTTTTAATTCATTAATTTATAAGGATATGAAGGTCAGTCAGGCCAAAAATTACCATCTTTAGTGTAAGTGACATTTTCAGTTCTTGTCCCCAACACTAGGACTGCCATCACTTTAGAATGGAACAAAAGTTTCTTTAAACTCTATTGAAGCAGAGTGATTTGCTCATACACAGTTAACATAGATCCACTGTTCTACTTTCAGTTCTCTGTGGAAAGCAAGCCAGAGGGAAATGAGGAACAGAATAGTTTACACATATGGATGTTCAATGCTTGACCATATTTTGCATCTAGCTTATTACGCCTTCCCACCATGTTTTGGAAGATCTTTAAAAAAACCTAACCAATAGTTTCTCTAGATAGAATAATTTGAGAAACTGGGGCAAAATCTGAGTCTGTCAAATTTAAACAGGAATCCTTTAACACTCCTTGTCAACAGGAACATACAACAGGCTGTATAATCCACTGCAAATAGCCTGTTCTAATAAAAACCAACCAACTCAGGAAACTACAGACCGGTCAGTTTAACGTCTGTCCCAGGGAAGATAATGGAGCAGGTAATTAAGGAAATCATATGCAAACACTTGGAAGGTAATAAAGTGATAGGGAATAGCCAGCATGGGTTTGTGAAGAACAAGTCATGCCAAACTAATCTGATAGCTTTCTTTGATAGGATAACGAGCCTTGTGGATAAGGGAGAAGCAGTGGATGTCATATACCTAGACTTTAGCAAGGCATTTGATACGGTCTCGCATGATATTCTTATCAAACTAGGCAAATATAACTTAGATAGGGCCACGATAAGGTGGGTGCATAATTGACTGGCTATCCATAGTCAGAGAGTTGTTGTTAATGGTGCTAAATCCTGCTGGAAAGGGATAACAAGTGGAGTTCCACAAGGGTCTTTTTTGGGACCCGTACTGTTCAATATCTTCATCAATGATGTAGATATTGGGATAGAGAGTATGCTTATTAAGTTTGCAGATGATACCAAACTGGGTGGGGTTGCAACTTCTTTGGAGGATAGGGACATAATTCAAAATGACCTTAGCAAATTAGAGAAATGGTCAGAGGTAAACAAGATGAAGTTTAATAAAGAGAAATGCAAAGTGCTCCACTTAGGAAGGAACAATCAGTTCCATACATACAAGATGGGAAGCGACTGTCTAGGAAGGAGCATGGCGGAAAGGGATCTAGGGGTCATAGTGGACCACAAGTTGAATATGAGTCAACAGAGTGACTATAAGTAAGCCTGCCAAGTGAGGAAAGCACTCCCTAATTCCCTTTACCATGTGCCTCATCTCAATGAGAATATTAAGCTACCTGTACATGCTTTTTGTAATTCATGGTGTGTAAGCATATTAAGAAAGGAATTAAAGCAGTAAGGAAACTTCAAATATTCCCAACTTCATATGCTATGCCCAGCTATTTTCAAGAACAAGTAGGCCCTTTATAACACGTGTAAAGAGTATACCACAAATCCATGTTGACAACTGCTCATCAGCCACACGAGACACTTTCAGACTGTTCCTTCTGCCTCCCTTTCGAGTGCCTGATTTTAGTCCTGTGCTTTCTGGTGAAGGCTCCTCTAGGGGGCTTTTACAGTAAGGGTGATCTAGTAACTTTGCACTAAAAATGTCCAGATTTATGGAGCCTTCTACTTCCATCTGGCAGGAGCTGTCTTCATTTTGTACCAGCTCCTCCGATAATGGTCCATTTACAAGGTTACTGTTTATATTTGAATCCCCCTTGCAGGATTCTAACAATATCATTTCATCAACACACATAACCTGATTAGATTCTGCATCTTCTTGACCTGAAATTGCAATTTCTCTCTCTGTTACTGAGAAGCAAAAATCATTATCACAGCTGTCCAGAGCAGGAGTCTCATTTGTTTCCGTCCCATGCAGGGTCTCTGTACCCAAAGGAGCTCTTTTACACAGCTCTGCTTGGCAGATTTTAACACTGCCACCTCTGGATGCAGTTTCCTCAGACTGTAGATCATTGCACTGTAATGCATCCTGTATAAGGCAGATGTCAGATTCAGGTGACTTATTCTCCTCAATTACAGGTCCTGGGGTATTATTGTTCATATCTGATGAGCTACACAGATTCCAAAAGGAGTTATTTTTAGATTTCCAGCACGAAAACCAGTTACAAACTCCACCTTCAAAATCTTCTTGAAGATTCTCTTGATAATCCCGCGTAACTTTCTCCACCCAGCTTGACTTGATTTTACTTGATTTGCAGGTTTTGCCTCTTGTTCTAAGTTTGGGGGATTTTATTATTCTATTCCGAAACCTAATCATAGAAAGTTTCTTATGCATCATAAATACAGGTATCTTTTTTACAGTATATGGGTTGAATTTGGACCTCTTTTTAGTAGTCAAGGGGCCACGAGATCCATTCTGCTCTAGCCCTCTGTAACAGCTCCTTTTTTTACAATTGTTTAAGACTACTAAGACTGCATTGCCTTCATGATTATTGCTTTCCTCTCCACTGTGTGTGAAACCATCCTTCTTTACAGGTAAGACAGCATCACACAGCCCACCACAAAAGGCACCATGATCCTTCCCATGGATGCAACCAAGACCAGTGCCTGCTTGTAATCCAGTGACTTTATTCAAGAGATCTTCACCCTGAAAGGATTCATTGTCCAACTTCTCTACTGGCTGTGCATGTGGGCTTCCAGTTTTGCCATTGGGAAAGGGCTTTTTTGTCCTTCTCGATGTTTTGGTAGCAAAGGGGCTATGTTCAGCAGTTGGCTTTTGATGGTTTTGTGCATTTAGAACCACTTCAGGAACCCTCTCACTGTGGAGTCGGAGTATCTTCCTTCTGCCCTGGAGAGATCTATATGATTTGTTCCGGTTTAAGCTCACAACTGATGGAGCACTTTGTCGCCTTTTCTTAGCTAGGAAAAAACGCTTCTTTTGGAAGCAGTATTTCCTGAGCCCCCAAAATCCAGTGGTCCATCTTCTAGAAAGGAATAGCAATCGACTTCTTTTCCAATTTAAATTTCTTCTATGTTCTTTCATTTTTCTGCTGCATTATGATCTCGAAGGTCAGCTGTAAGAAGAAGGAACACAACATTACATCTCAGATAACTCTGAATGCCAAGCCATGAAAACACAATTCACATGCCTGTGGGAGTGTGCCGGTCTAAAATTCCAAGAGCCCGCGCACTAAATCCACACATTAGACGTTCAAGCATAATGGTTGCAACATCTTTCTCACCAACGTGTCACGTCTCCCCCTCCCAGTCCTACTGTACAATTACTCCTCTTAGCACGAAGAACAGGTAAGCCCTCGCTCGGATCACTTTCTCCTAATTTTAACCCAGTCTGGGTTAGTCAATCTCTCAATTGTCCTCACCTGTAAAACAGATAATATTTAGCTTCCACCACAGGAGTTTAAAACCACATGTTTAAGTCTGAAAGTTAGCCACAAGCACACTGATTCCATCAGGGCCACATGAAGCCTGATAATCGTATAAGAAACCTTAAGTATTGTGAAGCCAGCCTCTGCTGAGTCAATTCAACAGAAACTCTTTCATTTAAAAAGGAACTAAAATGTTCCTATTCGAGGCATGGAGCTCTCTTTTTTCCTCTATAGCCACGTCCACTTTAAAATGGTTCCTCTATATTTAAAGGACAGTGCTATGAGCTGCTAACACCAAAACTAACCTCTACACTAACAAAATAGTACCAGTGCAAAACTAGGGATGTAAAATCCCATTTAACTGGTTAAACAATTACAGTATTGACACTACGCTTAATTGATTAAAGGGAGGTGGTCAGGAGAACCCACCCCCACACTGAGGTTGGGCTACAGTGGTTCCCACCACAGGCAGGGGCTGCTCCAGTCCCCCCGTGGAGGCTGCCACTGCAGCTTCTGACCCCCCTGAATGGACTGCGGCTGCCGCCTCTGCTGGCCCCTGACACATCCTCCTCCCTCTTGTCACTGCAATGACCTGCGTCTCAGATGGGAAAATGTTGTTAAAAGAAAGGATGTGTGTTTAGGATCACAGAAAACTGCCCAATACTGTAAAGGTTAAGGTACACACAATACTGTCAATTCATCCACATTCCATTCTTGCTGTTCTAGGCATCATTAATAGCCAAATACACGTGCAGCCTGGAGAAGTAAAAGCGAACATTCTGAGGAGCAGAGTCAATCTCTGACAGATGTGAATGGGATGTGTGGAAGACAGTTCACGCCAAACATAGCAATATCAGTGATAGTGATAACAGTCATTTTTCTGCCAGGACAGATTAAAAGAAGAGAAGAATATTTGAACTAGCAACGGAAATGGAATAAAGCACCAATGGAAAAAATGGGTGATTGCAAACGTGTCATTAAAACTAGGGATGTAAGCGACTAGTTGACTATCCGATAAGCATAAGCTTATCGGAGAGTCAACTAAGGATATCTGGTGATAAGACTAGTCCCTCCCCACCCTCACTTTCTGCCTCTACCAGAGAGAGGCAGCAAGAAGAACCGTCTCAGTGGGAGGCAGGCAGGGTAGAGGCACAGCTGGAAATGGCACGAGCAGGGATTGATGCAGTCTCCGCTCGCACCACTTCTGCTGCGATTCTGCTTTTGAAATGTACAAGAGACCCAGTGGGCTCTTGTACATTTCAAAGGCTGAGGTGCCACAGGGAGTGCAGGGCCAAAGCAGGAGTCCCATTGGCCCTGCACTTCCTTGGGGCTTCCAGTTCTTAACTGTAACAAGAGCCCAACAAGGGTCTTGCTACAGTTCAAAGGCGGAGGTGCCCTTAGACTAATTGAACAGTCGATGGAAATCCCATTGACTATTTGATTAGTTAATATAAATTTAAAATCCCTAATTGAAATACACATGTTGCTTTCTGCAATTTATCCCAAGGCCTGCCAGGGACACTGCACTGTATGTTACAAATGGGGCTGGGCTTATTTTGACTGCTAACATTTTTAGGAGAGGACAGCAAGCATACTCAGAAATGATTTGTTATTCACCTATTTTGTCTCATTTTTCCCCCTTTTCACCAACTGATAAGTCAGCATCTCAATAAGAACGATTACTACAAAACCTGGGAGTTTACTTATAGTGGTATGAGTTAGGGATGTGATAGTGTATTCATTTAAAGGGTTAACCAAAGAACCTGGGCTCATCAGTTAACCTTCACAGTTACATGCAATGAGCTCTCTCCTCTCCCCTTACCCCCTCTGCTGCCTCTGTATCATTAAAACCCATCTCCCCGCATGCACCGGATCGTGCGGAGCCGTCTCCCTGCTGCGTGTAAACATGTAACTGCTGAAAATGTCAGCCATTACAGTTACAAAAAAAACCCACCACACCCGCTTTTTAACATCCCTAGTAGGAGAAGCAAACATGACAAGGTACCTTCCAGCAGTTTAAAAACAAGAAAGTGCATTGTCTAAACTGAGGTCAAGCATGGAAATGTAAGCCTGAAAGGAGAATTTAAGCTATAAACATGTCAAAATGGATGTTGACAATGGGGATTCTGATATAATTTTGCCTATAATCTTCACAGTTGAAAAACCTAACAGACCAATCAAATCAAACCGTTTTATTTTGTTGGGAGCGAAATGCAAACAGAGGGTACAGAATTTAAAGGTTAGTAGTACTTTCTTAAAGCTACTCCCACTGTACCATGAAAGGTCAGCTGTTCACTTGCAGCAGAGAGTTGCGAATCACGCTGCAATAGACGGGGCACAGATTGGGAACAAACCAGCATTACTGAAAGGAAGCAGTCTACTTCGTCTCAGCATTAAGGCACTCATTACTCTTCTCACACCTGTGATATAACAGTAACTCCCCTACAGGGGCTATTACTTCACATTTGCTCTTCTGACTTTCACCTGCTTCTTTTTAGGTCAGGCAGTCTGTAAGACTAAACCTTCCCTGCAGAATGAGCGGAGGAGGTACATCATCCTTACTGCAAAGCCCTAGCTACATTTCGGTGTCCACAGTGGTGCTATAGTCACCTGCATGAGGCACTAGGACTTCTGGTGGGATACCAGCCCCCCTCCATGACTCTTTGCACTGCACCACTCTATGAATTATTCTGCAATACACCACAGAGAACGTGTGTGTACAGGATGGCATCTCTGTTCAAGTGTGCAACAGAAATGAAAAGAAAAGGAAGTGTAGCCCATGGGAACTGCAAGAAGACATTAGAGGACTATCAAAACCTCTGCTGATTAACCTGGGCAGTTTCCCAACCCTGACTAAAATGCAACCTAGGCTCAAGCCTGCACCTCCAGGGCGGGTCACGCCAGTCAGCCAGCCCACGTTCAAGTAGATAAAACTGAAAGTATTTTCTTCTATTTTAGAATAAACATATTTAAAATTAAACTTGAAATTATGATGGTCTATACTGAGGCATAAACTCATTACAATTAAATTACATATTAAAAATATTCAAGCACTACAAGTTTGCTACTGAAGTTTTAAAGACAGACCATTACTCTGGTAGAAGTCACTGGCTAAGCACTTGGGACCAGAGTTTGCTGGAAAGCGAGATCCCCTTTTGACAGCAGTAGCCTCTTCTGCCAGTAGAGAGAGAATATTTTCCTTAGTTAGTAAGTTCAATTCAATGATTAGTTCAAAGTTAAGAAACCAAGTGGGAACGGAAAAAGCGGTGAAGGGGGGGGGGGAAGTGTTTTTTATTCATAGTTTGCAAGAGGAAAAACAAGAGGTATTGAAATCTTGAAGGACATGGTGATCAGAAACAACCAGTTTAATTCACGATTTACATTTAATATTAGGGATGTTAGACACAGTGTAACCGACTAGTCATGTAACTGCATGAAATCTTATCGGTTACACGACTATTCAATAGTCCCTGGGAGCAGAGCTGGCAGCCAGTGAGCTCCCAGCCCCACTCCCAGAGAGCTCCCTGCCACCCCACCCCGCTGCCAATATGGTCCAAGCTCCCTGCAGACAGGCTGATGCAGGAGAGGGGGGAGAAGAGGCTGGTGTAAAACA